TTTAGGACTCACTAATACTTCCACATAGTAAAGTTTTTTGCATTTTGAGGTGTTTTGTGGTTGCCTTATGGGGCTGGTCCTTATGACTGCCTCTAGAGGAAGTCAGAGTAAATTTCGCCATCCCTTTAGACGCGAATAAAGCCCAGAGTGGTTAAGTGAGTTTTCCAAAGTCACACAACTGCTCGTGAGTTGAAGATGTAAAACAATCATTCCGTTATTTGTTTATTCATAACTATTTACTGAGAACCCTACTAAGTGCCCAGCCCTGGGGATGCTTCTGTAATGTCTCTGTTTTCATGGAATTTGGAGCTTGGATTCTAAAGAGGCTGATAGAAAAAAAAATGTAAACAAATGAAAGAACCACAAATTATAGTAAGTGCTACAAAGGGAAGACGAACGAAGAGAATGCAGAGAGAAAAACAGGGAGAGGGATGGGGCAACTTGGAGAAGTTGATTTGCAAAGGCTTCTCTGAAAAGGGCATGTTTATGCTGAAACTCGAAGAACGAGATGTAACAAGAGCGGGAGAAGAACATTTCCGGCAGAGGGAGCTGTATAAGCAAAGGCTGATAGTTGGAAGAGCACGTGGCCTATCTGGGCCACATAAGGAGACTGGTGTAGCTGGTGCCCATGAGAGGCAGAGAGTGTGGTTTGAGATAAGAGCATGAAAGGACCTCCCACCTCCCTCGCCCCCAATGTATCCCTATGTCCAAGGGGAATTTTGTCTTCACCTTTCAGTTCCTTCTCCTCATGGCCTTCTAATGAGGGTTGGTTCAGCCAACCCATTCCAAGGCTTTGTACTGTGGCCTCAGGAGGTCTGGGAAGGGGGATGAAGAAGAGAGACAGGTCTGCGAAGGGGGAAGGAAGAAGAACAGGGTTTCAAAGACAGAGACCCTGAAGCCTGAATGTCTGCAAAAGCTGGAGTAGAAAGTTGAGAATGAAGAACTGAAAAAGAGCAAGGGGTCACGGGTTCTAGGGCCGTTGCCAGCCATAGAAAGAAGGCCTGTGGGGTGGATGGGAGCCTCTTCAGCCTCCTTCAGAGATGACTTAAGGCTTTGTCTCTATGCTTCTTCCAACAGGCTATTGCTTAAAGACTGAATGACATGGACCCCAGAGTTTTTGTGAGTTACTCTAAAATATGGTAAAATCAGGGCTTCACTCCCAGCTGAGAGCCTTGCAGAGTGAAGAGTTTTTTAAGAGACCATCTGATAAATGCGGGCTCCCGCACACAGAGATGTGAGCTAGAGCCATGCCACAAATAATGTATATTATTTTCTTCTCCACTTAATGTCCAAAGTGTCTGGTGTAACATCTTTGGTGACCATTCCATTTGGGAATCCTAGCTTACTGGATGAAGCTGTGTGCATTGTGAGGTTGGCCTTGTTGTGTTGGAGTTTAGAAGAAGGAACAGAAGGGGTAATAATCATTATGATAAGCACTTCTTGAGCACTCACTACATGTCAGGCACTATTCTGAGCATATTGCATGCATGGGTTCTTTTAATGTGCATAACAACCCCACAAGATTAGTAGGTACCATTTATATCCCCATTTTACAGATAAGAAAACCAGGGCACGGGGTCTCAGAGTTAGCAGGTGGCATTGCCAAGACTGGAACTCAGACAGTTTGGCTCCAGAGCTCCTGCCCTTTAGCACTGTAGAGGTGACTTGAGAGACCCCCTAAGTTCCAGCCCAACCACAAATACCACCCCCCATTGGCCATAGTACATGACTAAATGTGACAATTACTTATACAGCATTTATTAAGAGCACAGTATTGTCCTATGCACTTTACATGTAGCATCCCATGCATCTTCTTATCAACCCTTTTAGATAGGAACTGTTATTCTTCATCTTTTACAGAGGAAGAAACTGAGGCCCAAATCAGTATGTAACTTGGTGAGAGTCTCCCACTTAAATAATTGGTAAAGTTGGAATCCAAATCTAAGCATCCAACCCCAGAGCCCAAGCTCTCAACTAACCCTGATCACTTTTTTGAGTAAGGACTCTGTATCTCTCAAATGCCCCCTATTAAAATGAACCTCAGCCATGTGGGAGCAGTGTGACTTTTTTTTCCTCCCCCTAAAGCATGTTGAAGATTTGGGGACAAGTTTTATTGAAACTCCCCAAGGCACAAGCTTTCACCCTTGGTGGTGATTATCTAGTGACTACAGATGCCTAATTAAATGAGTTCAGGCACACTGATCTCCTTAATTCAGTTTCTTCCAACCCCCATCTTCATTCTGCCCTTGTCTTTGAACTCCTCATGCTTTGTCTCAGTGATCTCCTCCACTACCAGCTGTTACCATCTTCTGTATTGGGATGAATCCCTGACCCACAACTTCAGCCCAGACCTGGCTCCAAATCTCCATGTCCTTCATTCCACCTGCTCCAAGACCTAGGCACCCGGATTTTCCCTAATGTAGCTGAGGCTGGTGTGCCCCACCCAGATCCCATGGGGTCTTTTTTCTACCCCCATTTCCAAGCCACTGCCTGCATTGCTGCAGGTAGAGGCTCACACCTGCAACCTTCTCCTGAGGCTTGCCCTTGAGCAATGGGAGCTGCCTCACCCAGACTCGTACTCCCCACCTTCACCTGACCTCAGATACTGATAGCGTCTGTTCCAAGAATCTAGTGCAACTTCCTTAGACTAGCAATCAATACCTCCTGCACCTGGCGACAACCTCGCTGTCAAATCTTCACTCCTGCTCAGCTGCAGAGCGGCTCCTCGGCCCTTAAGAGTTCCTCTGTCTTCTGGCCTTCTTGCCTTTGCTCATTCTGCTTCTGTTTGGAATGTCATCCGCCCTGCTTCCAACTGTCAACATTCTACACATCCTTTGAAGGCCAGTGACACTGCGCTTCTGCCCGCGAGGCATTCCCAAATTGTGCTTGCCCTTGCAAGGTGGGTTATTGCTAGTTATGCATGGGTCTCTAGTCAGCATGGTTTGTATTCTAAAAGGTCAAGAATGAATCCGATTCTCTCAGCTGTCTCTAGTTAAGGGTTCAAATGTGTACCCACCAAAGGGTATTGAAGTCCTAACCCTCAGTACCTGTGAGTATAACTTTATTTGGAAATAGGGTCATTGCAGATGTAATCAAGTTAAAATGAGGTCATTAGGGTAAGCCCTAATCCAAGAGAAGAAGAGAGACAGAAACAGACGGGCACAGAAGGAAGATGATGTGAAGACACACAGGGAGAATACAGAGGCAGAGACTGCAGTGATGATGCTCACATGAGCCAAGGAACTCCAGGACTTCTGGCAAAACCAGAAGCTCAGAAAAAGGCATGGAGCAGATCTCCCCTAGAGTCTTCAGAAAGAGCATGGCCCAGCTGACACTCTGATTCCAGACTTCCAGCCTCCAGGAAGGAACTGCAAGAGAATAAATGTCTGTTGTTCTAAGCCACCCAGTTTGTGGTCCTTTGTCACAGCAGCCCTAGGACACTAATATATTAAGTATCTCACACAGTACCTTCCACAGAGTAAGTAATGGCAAAGGCTTGTTGAATTCACGTGGGGGTGGAATATTTCTCTCACTAGCTGTTTTTTTTTTTTTTTTAAACAAGCTATTTAATGGTTATTGTAACATGCCTTGCACTATGTTGATAGAATCTCTCAGATTTCCTAAACCTTTTGTTGTTATTCCATACCTATACACTACCCAGCCCCCACTTGTATGTTCCATATGTACTCTTTTCTTTTCTCGTCTCTTTTCTTTTTCTTTTCTTTTCTTCTGTCTTTTTTTTTTTTTTTTTTTTTTTTTTTTTGGTAAAGACAGGGTCCCACTATATTGCTCAGGCTGGTCTTGAACTCCTGGACTCAAGCAATCCTCCTTCGCTGGCTTCCCAAAATGCTGGGATTACAGGCATGAGTTGCAGTGCCCAGCCATTCCATATATGTGATGGAGAAGAGAGCTTACACCAACCTAATAGTTACTTAATGTTGCATAACGAATCATGGCAAAGCTTAGTGGCTTAAAACAAGAGTCATTTATTACATTTCACAGTTCCTGTGCAGCAGCTTGGCTGGGAGGTCCAGACTCTGGACTTCTCATGAGGTTGCAGTCATCTGAAGGCTTGACTGAGGCCGGAAGATCCACTTCCAAGGTGGCCCACTCACGCGACTGGCAGCTTAGTGCTGGCTATTGGCAGGAGGCCTCAGTTTCCCTGCAGAGGCTGCTTAAATGTCATGATGGCATGCTGGTTGGCTTCCCCCAGGCTGAACCACCCAAGCAGAGAGCAAGACAGAAGCTACAAAGCCTTCATGACTTAGCTTTGAAAGTCACAAATCATCACTTCCACCATGGTATACCATCTACACAGGCTAGCCCTGATTAAATGTGGGAAGGCATGAATACCAGGAGGTGAGGATCATTGAGGTCCATCCTCATCAGTCAAGGCCATGCAATCTCAGCAGGGGCAATACCATCCCAACCAGGCAAAAAAAATTCATTCTTGGAAAGAATGAAAAAAAATTACTTTTTATGTATAAGCAAAGATATACATACTGTACATAAACAGATACAGAATATATCTGTGGTGCTAAAGTTTCATGGTGAAGGGAACAGCCAATAAGGAAAAAAATTGTCTAAAAAATCTTGGGGGTGGCTGGGCACGGTGGCTCACGCCTGTAATCCCAGCACTTTGGGAGGCCGAGGCAGGCGGATCACGAGGTCGGGAGATCGAGACCATCCTGGCTAACACAGTGAAGCCCCATCTCTACTAAAAATACAAAAAATAAGGCAGGTGTGGTGGCGGGTGCCTGTAGTCTCAGCTACTCAGGAGGCTGAGGCAGGAGAATGGCGTGAACCTGGGAGGCAGAGCTTGCAGTGAGCCGAGATCACACCACTGCACTGCAGCCTGGGCAACAGAGCGAGACTCTGTCTCAAAAAAAAAAAAAATCCTGGGGGTGATCTTTTTTTTTTAATTTGAAAGTAAACTTTAATGTCGAAAATGCAAACTTGGGGAGGGCAGAAAGATCACACACAAGACTGCCACTTCACACCTGGAGGGTTGCATGGTGGCCGGGCAGAGGCGCTCCTCACTTCCAAAATGGTGCTGGGCAGGCGGACTCCACTGCTAGATCTGTGACTTGGGTTTAAGCCTCTCCCTTCTGCCTTCATCTGGAGATGCTGATAGCCTGGGCTCTCACTCCTTTGGCTCGGGGTGGAGACTGGAGCCTGGAAAGACCCTGCCCTCAGCAGGAACTCCCCCTGGGCCCCACTCTGTGACCCTGAGCCCAAATCTGGATCCTTCCTTTACTTTCTCAAGCCACTTTGGGCCTGCCCAGCTCTTTCACAGCCCTGTCATGTAGGTGACAACACTGTTTTCCCTCCCCTCCCCTCCCCTGCCCTCCCCTCCCCTCCCCTCTCTCTCTTTCTTTCTTGCATTTTAAATAGAGACAGGGTTTCATCATATTGGCCAGTCTGGTCTTGAGCTCCTGACTTCAGGTGATCCACTTGCCTCAGCCTCCCAAAGTGCTGGGATTACAGGCGTGAGCCACCGCGCCTGGTCCCCGTTCTCACCTTCTTGGTGTAAGTGCTGTCATCATGTTCCACCCCAACCAAACCTTGAGTGGGCAGCCTCTGCAGGGGACCATTCATAACTGGCCTGTCGTCACGGTCCCCTGCAGAGCCCTCACAGGTGGTCCAGATGTGCCCACTGGCCCTACCCCGGGTGCGTCTTCCCTGCCCCTGGCCTGCTCTGCCTGATGTGCACTGTGCACTTGACTCTGCTGACTCCCAGGGGGCCTCCATCACACACCGAGCCAGCCTCATTAGCGGTCTCGGTAGGTGGTGTTCAGGGACAGGGTAATGGGATCCAGCCCTTCCTAAGGTGTACCTGGGCTGCGACTCAGAATGGACGTTCAGAACAAAGAGATGCAACTGTGAGTGACCCTGGGCCCCACAGGCCAACCATCAACCAGGCCTTGGCCATAGTCCATCGGGCACTCACCCCTTGCAACATGTGGACCCGCTGAAGCCCAGTGTGTGAACGAGTACCTGGAGGCCTCAGCCCACGCTGCTGGCATGGCCAGAGAAAAGGATCTGCCTGCCTCCCCCCCACCCAGGTGTGGCAGCTCCTGGTGCCAGTTTCCCAGGAGCATGGCCAGGCCCTGGGTCTCTCCATCACAGCTGTGGCTCTGGTTTCTTCCGGGAAGTGAGGTGGGGTTGCTCCCCTTGCAGCAGCCGCTGCTTCAATGCTCTGTAGGCCTGCACGGCCTCCTATCTCTCCTCCCCACAATCTGCTGGTAGGCCAGGGAGGCAGTCAGAGGCTGGGACACACCACCAGGGCTCAGAAGCATCCCCAGCATCTGCGATCTCCTGCCACGCTGGTCCTTGCTTATGCTCCTCCCAGGCCTGGTAGTCAGTTCTGGAGGCTGCAGGACAACCTCACCAAACTTCATCGTGTCTCTGAGCACGATGTCTGCCATCTTTTCCTCCTTTTTCTGCCGGACTTTATCTAGTCGTCGCTTCTGGAATGGTTTTTTTGCTTTTTTCAGCTCAGACTTCTCCTTGGGAGCTGCCTGGACGTCTGGCTGCTGGGTGGCCTGGTTCTTGCTGAGGAATAGCACGTGCTGGACCTCTTGCTGCATGTGCTGGATATAGGCCTAGTCAGACTCCCCTTTCCTCTGCTTGAATTTGGGGATGGCGATGTTGGGCTCCACTCCCTTTGCTTCCTTCTCCAATGCCTTTCTGAAGGCCACCTGGGCTGCTTTCTTCCTCTTCTTGTTACCGATCGGGTTTTTCATCTTCTGGCAGCTCCCCATAATCTCCCGGAGCCAGAAAGGGATCTCCTCTTCGTCCTGGTTCTTGGGCGTGCAATTCACTTTCTTCTCTTTGCTGTGAAGCCTGGACCACAGGACTGGGCGCTGCTTTCCCAGTGGCTGCCCTTGGTTCCGCTGCTGCACCCGCCGGGGACTCCCAGGACCCACTGGCGCCCTGGGCACCGCTGCTCCACCTCCAGCTTGCACCATCTCCATGCTGAAAGCTTCCCTAGTGAAGCCACTTCTGCCTTCCTCCAGTTTTTAAAATGGTTAAGAAACACTGGCTAAAACTTTTTCAGTTGTAAACAATAAAACCCAATTCAAACTGACTTAAGCAAAAATGAAGTTCACGAGTCTGGACTTCAGGTATTGCCAGATCCAGAGGTTCAGATACTATCAGCAGTGCTTTTTCTATCCATATTACACACAGACTGTCTCCAAGCAGCTGTCCATGAGGGCCCCTGTGAGTGTTATTTACATCTTACTGCCAGCTATCTGGGAGGATTGTGAAACACTGCCCAGCCCTAACACGCCTAGATTAGACAGCAGTGTAGGCGCTAAGACTCCCACGTATATGGACAGAGAGGATAAAAGACCTTCAACCATTTCACAGTGCTGCCTGGGGAGGGCTCATTTTCTCCTGATATTCTAGGAGAACAAGAAAAACAGGGCTTCACAATCTCGTAGGTATAAATTCAAATCTAAGATCTACCAGTTACTAGCTCTGTGATCCTTAAAGTTCTTAAAGCTTCGGTTTTTCGTCTGTAAAATGGAGGTAATGGTAGTTACCCATAAGACTGTTGCTAGGATTAGTTGAGACCATGCATGTAAAGTTTCGCACAGAGAACCTGCACATGCTAGCTAAAAGAGGAGAGGAAGAGGAGGATTGTAAGTGGGGGATGCGTATTTCCTGTTTCCAGAGAGGGGAGGACACCTGCTTACTCCAAATGTTTTCTGCTCTTGTGTTGCTTTGCTTAAGGTTGAAATCCCCAGGAAAGAAACTCAGATTGGCCAAGCTTGGGTGATGGGTAAGGCCAGGTGAAGTCAGTGCACTTTGCACTGACCCACCAAGGCCTTGGCCCACCAAGGCCACCAAATTGGGGTGGAGTGGTTCCCCAGAGGAAAATTGGGTACTGTTAGGAGATAGGAGGGGACGGACACTGGGTAGGAAGAGTGCAGATGTCCACCGAAGACATCCTTCAGTGCAATGTCCCAGGAAGCCCTGACCCATACTTTCTTCCCCTCACCCCCTTGTGTCTATTTTCTCTCCTAGTGGCATCTGCAGAGAAGGAATAGGTGATTGTGGCTGACACAGTCAACTGCCTCACCCAAGGACCTTTCCCACCTTCTTTTAGCTGCCTAAGTTCAAGAGTTGACCATCCCTGGCCTGCTCTGCCTGATGTGTGCTGTGCACTTAGCTCTGCTAACTCCCAGGGGGCCTCCATCACACACCGAGCCAGCCTCGTCAGCTGTCTCAGTAAGTGGTGTTCAGGGACAGGGTAATGGGATCCAGCTGTACCTGGCTGTGACTCAGAATGGACGTTCAGAACAAAGAGATGCAACTGTGAGTGACCCTGGGCCCCACAGGCCAACCATCAACCAGGCCTTGGCCATAGTCCATCGGGCACTCACCCCTTGCAACATGTGGACCCGCTGAAGCCCAGTGTGTAAACAAGTACCTGGAGGCCTCAGCCCACGCAGCTGGCATGGCCAGAGAAAAGGATCTGCCTGCCTCCCCCCAACCCAGGTGTGGCAGCTCCTGGTGCCAGTTTCTCAGCAGCATGGCCAAGCCCCGGGTCTCTCCATCACAGCTGTGGCTCTGGCTTCTTCCGGGAAGTGAAGTGGGGTCACTCCCCATGGAGCTGCCGCCGCTGCTTCAATGCTCTGTAGGCCTGCACGGCCTGCTCTCTCTCCTCCCCACAATCCGCTGGTGGGCCAGGGAGACAGGAGGACAGGGCACCTCCCCGGCCCCAGGAAGGGAATATCGCTTGGACTCACCAGATCATGGTAATTCCATTACCCTTGCCAGCAACTGTGGGTACATGACTATTATAGCCAGTGGGATTTAATGGGATCTCCTCTGGGCACCTCTGGGAGACTCGTTCCTCCTGAATAAAAAGACACATGGGCCAGGCACAGTGACTCATGCCTGTATTTCCAGCACTTTGGGAGTCCGAGGCAGGTGGAACACTTGAGGTCAGGGGTTCGAGACCAACCTGACCAACATGGTGAAACCCCGTCTCTACTAAAAATACAAAAATTAGCTGGGCATGGTGGCACACGCCTATAATCCCAGCTACTCGGAAGGCTGAGGCAGGAGAATTGCTTGAACCTGGGAGGTGGAGGTTGCAGTGAGTCAAGATCGTGTCATTGCACTCCAGCCTGAGTTACATAACAAGACTCTGTCTCAAAAAACAACAACAACAACAAAAAAGAAAACAACCACAAGGAAGAAAACCCCATCTCTTCTTCAGACTGATGTTTCTGGGTTCACATGTGATACCTGGAACAGTGGCAGCCTTCAGCCTTTCTGGAATAATGAAGAGGCAAGCCCAAGAACAAAGCCAACATGATGAGGATGGCAGGACAGAAAGACAGGGAGAGGCTAATCCTTATTGAAGTCAGTCATTGGCTGAGCTACCCACGGATACTGCCTCCAGACTTGCTTTGATGCCTTACTGCCTAAACTACATTCAGGTGGGTTTACTCATACCATAGCCGAAGCATCTTAGTGTTATATATATGCTTGTCTATTTCTAAATCTCTAACAAGGGTAAGGAAGCCTTTTAGGTCAGTGATTCTCAAAGTGTGGTCCCTGGACCAGCAGTATCGACATCACCTGGAAACTTATTAGAAATGCATATTCTTGGGCCCCATCCAGTTCTCATTAATCTGAAAGGAGGAATGGGTGCAGCAGCAGTCGTGTTTTCACAAGCATTCCAGGTCATCGTGGTGCATGCTATAGTTCGCCAACCTCTGCTTTATATACTACTCTGTTGTCATACTGACATTAGAACTGACCACTGGGAGTGAGGACACCACTCATTATTCCTTCCAACTTACCTTTTTCTATCATTGCTTCATTTGATTCTGCTATCCCTAAAACAAACAAACGAAAAAAAAAAAAAAAAAAAAAAAAAAAAAAAAAAGAAAAAAAAAAAGGGAGAGAAAGAGACAGAAAGGATTTGAAAACTGTTGACCAAATAAACCTTTTGCTTTGAGTTTCAATCTGCTGACTCTGGGTCATCAGTTCTTTCCAAACAAGACTTTGGGTGTCTGCAGAAACCTGTAGTAGCTAGAATGTGGTGGACATTTCCAAAATATTTAGAACACTAATAATCACTGTTATCAATAATGCTCCATAGGGATCTCCCTTGAGCTATTGGAAGTGAAGTTAGCAAGGAACTTAGAGAGGTGTGCACTGCTTGAGGTGAGCAAAGATAGGCAGAGAAGCCCTGAGAATAATGTTAGAAAAAAAAAGGAATGAAAAACTTGCTGCAAAAAGGAGAAAAGAAGGAAAGAAAGGAAAGAAAAAGAAAATGATTCTCG